GTTTGATATAGAAGTGTATTTTTATATTAACATGAACATCTATATTATTTTCATATTCACGTTATTTATATAGAAATGTATTTTATTTACATGTAAATAAAATATGCAAATAAGTGTATATCATAGAAATAAGTGTATATACAAAATGTTATTTTTATGATCATGTTATATATATAGCAGGGCATATAAATGTCAGCGACATATAAATAAGTGTATATCAAACTATATGTTATTTTATGATTTACATTATATATAATGTTACATATAAATAATAAAAAAGTGTAACTGAAAATACTGTATTATTTATTCAAGTAACATATAGTAAACTATATGTATTATTTATTTGATATATAGTTTACTGTAATAAAAATAAATCATAAGCATAAATTAGGATTCATACAATTCAAAACATAGTATATTATATGTATTATTCATGTAATTATGATAATGGTCATCACTGCTATAAATGGTAATAAACATAAGTTATGTCACTAAATTAAGCAGTAATAAGGATTTTATTCCAAATTTAATGAGTAATCACAATTTTAAAATTGTTGGTGGAGATACATACAATTAAATGACCTATATTTTCTAAAATAGAAGAACATCAAATATCGTTAGTTACTAATCAATGGAATTTTGATTATTTTATATATGTTTCAATTGATTGCTTACCAATTAACATAAATGCGCTAATATAAATGCAATTAAAATAAATGTGCTTATATAAATACGAATTTCAAAACTCAACTCATACCAAATTTAATATATTAAAAATAATTAACTATTAAATATGCTAAGTGTATATCAAATTTAATATTTCATATGTTCCGATCATATACAAAATCCACAAGTATTATAGTGAATGGCTAAAAATAGCTGTTAATAAAAAATCAAAAACCCAAGTCATACTAAATCTAATATATTAGAAATAGGAAAAGATTAAATAGAATAGGAAAAAAAAATATACTTTTAGTTTTTGCCCGAAACATAGCCGGACGGACCTCTATGATATTTTAGTTACCATGAAACATAAATGCACTAAATTTTAAAATTTATTTGTTATATTAATAATATTTTATATTAATTACATAGTATTAACTCCCTATATCTAAGCATTAACTCTGCATATTTTTGTCTCATTAGTTTTTCCCAATTAAACTCGGAAACATGATCAGCTAGGAATTATATACAAGTATATTATCAATTAGAAGACATGTAATTAGCACAAAATATACTAACAATTTAAGGTGATAAATTTGTATCTGAAATACTATATATATGGAGTTGATATTATGCCTACAACTCCATCACAACCCAAGCGATTTAAAAGTATCATTCAAAATGAAAGGCTTGAATTCATCTCTGATTTAAAACCAAAGAAATCTCTATGGAAGATTAAAGTGAAAGTCATTCGACTTTGGAAGCAATACTCGGCTGTTGGTGGAGACACCATACAAATAGGTTTTGCACGGGATGAGATTTGAAGACAATTATCACATTATTTAGTGTCTTATTTTTCTATTACCTATGTTGCTTTAATTATTATCATCATAATTTTATTATAAACGCAATAATTCTATTACATATTTTTGTTTTTTTCTTAAATTCATAATAAATTTAATGAAATCTTTACTTATACCTTTATAACTTTTTCATATAATATACTTCAATGCACCTATCCAATTATACAAACTTTTTCATAAAAAAAAAATTCAGATAAGCTTACATTTTAAAAACTTCACACTATAGTAAGATATTCATTATATCTAATATTTGTGATATTTTACTTTCTGATATCTATATATATATATATATATATGTAATAATTTTCTAATTAATTCACTCCGCGCAGGGTGCAAATTATCACATAGTCCCCTATATATTAATTGAGAAGCATTACAATATGTTTTGGTAGCCACGTGTCATATCATGAGAATGCTTCTCAAATTTACTAGAAAAAAATGTTAGTCCATATAAACATATACTGCTATTTTTTATTAAGCTAAGCATAAAACTATTATTAAATACTAATCATTATTTCCTTAAATGAAATTTACGCAATTACCTAATATGTTTATAATATATATATATATATATATATATATATATATATATATATATATATATATATATGAAAATTAATGATTTGAATATGAAAGATTTAATAAAAAATTGCATAGTCTCTACGCTTTTTGTTAAATTTATATTAATAAAATAAATTAGACAATAACATTAAATATGTTACAAACAAATTAGAGTTTTTATATATGTTATATTTTGAATTTTTAAAAATGACAATAAACTAATAAAAAATTAAAATTTCACATATAATATTTTGATTAATAGTTTAAATTTTTTGTTATAGCAGGATAAAAACAATTATTAAATTAATGAGTAAGAAATATCATTTACTAGATATTTAAATTAGATGTATATATATATATATATATATATATATATCCATATTTTTAGTGATGTTTAATTTAAACTAAATACCACTTAAATATACATAAATATTTAATTCAAAAATTGCATTGAACAAGTATTGAGAACTTAATACTTTAATGACAAACTTTGAATTTAATTTTTTATACGATGATAAAGTACTGTAAATATTAATTCTCTCACGTTAAAATTGATGTTATATATATATATATATATATATGTATATGTTAATATCATTTATTAATTACATTTACTTATATAAAGTGATTGTAAATAAAAAAATATAATTATTTTATTCAAGTGCTCACTAAATTAATTATATATATAATATTTACAGATTTTTAATTATTCAATATATTTTTTTATTTTATAATAAATAAAAAACATAAAATAAAGAATAAGATATATATAATTCTCATTTCGCTCAAATGCGCGGATATTAACCTAGTCAATATTATTAAAAGAGAAGAAATCCTAAAAATCTACTTATACAAGTTGTTTGGACCTATTTATTATTTTTGGTTCTACCCTTATCTTTCTCTAACTATATAATATTTTTAATGAAATCATTAATTACTTCTCATTGTTTAGGAAACTAAATATAAAACCATATTTATGAATATAAAAACAGACTATGAATTCAGAATTTTTTATTTTATCAAATTAACTTTTCGTAGAATTTTTTTATCATATTCTTTGTAAATGAAAATTTCACAAAACAATATTGCATTCTGAATTTCTAATATAGTACTACATAATGATAGAAATGTCTTATTTAACTTTATGTAGTTGTATAAAACATAGGTTTCTAAGACAACCTATATCATACCATATATTTATATAAATTTGTAAGTGTTTGAGTACAATTTATAACATCTGAAATATTCTTTTTATACAAACTTACATCTATATATAGCCATTCATTTTACATATAGATTCAATAATATTTTAAAATAATGGATTATTGATAAGTGCTAACCTATTTTACCAGCTACAAACTCATATCATGTAAACCTAATTATTATTAAGGAAAATTGATGATGAAATTTATATATAATCTTAACTGACTTTTATAGAATGTATATATAAATCTTACTAGAATTACAAAATATCCTACATCTATATCAAGCCAAATATTTCATATAAAAGAGATAATTAAATATAAATTTTAACACACGTAAGTAAATAAAAAATCACAAAATTGTAAAATATACTAGAAGTTTCTATTCATCTCTTAAAATATTGAAAATTATTTTGTTTTACCAGGGGGTTGATTGGTAGAGCATTAGCATAAGCATTATGCTCTCTATTATCCAATCAACATTTGGCAAAGAAGCATTTAGAAAAGCATTTATCAAATGCAAATGCTCTCCAAATGCTCTTTACTCAATGCTCTTATATAGAGCTTTTGGGAGAGCATTTGCATATAGAAAATATAAAATTTAATAATATTTATATATAATTAATTTATTTTTGTTTAAAAATATAAACAATATTTTTATAATTAAATATAAATTTATATTTTAAAAAATGAAAATAAAAATTATAATTAATTATTTTTAAAAGAACAATATTTCACATTTAAAATATAACATAATTTATATAATTACATATATCATTCATTATTTTTAATAACAAACATAACATAATATATTTTATATATTATCGATATAAACATATTATTTAGACACTAATAAATAAATTATATATTAACTTTTATGATAATTTTATATATGAGTAATTTAGTGCTCTGCCAATAAATAAATAATAATAATTTATATATAAATTATAATTAATTACTTAATTTATTTAATAATAATTATAATTTAATAATAATTAATTAAATTATAACTATAATTTTATATATGAGGAATATGTTATATCCAAAAAAAATTAATATTTTTAAAAAAAATTAATTTTTAAATATAATTTACATAATGAAAATTAATTATAGTTAATAAAATTATATATTATTAATATTATATATATATATATATTATTTTAAAAGAAATATATTATTTTACTAACTATTATGACAATTTTAAAATTGTATACTGCTAATGCTCTGCCAATCACTTTATTGAAAAATTTAATGAAAGCATACAGCTTCTGTAGCATACTGCTTCTGCAGCATACTGCTACTGCTTTATCATCTGCTGTACCAATCGAGGCCCAGGTCAATCAAATGTCGGGTCACATTTGGTTGCAGGTTTTTTCAAAATTTGCATGCTTTAAATTAACGAGTTTTCATTAAATCTAAACCAGCTTATATATACGTCATTGTATTTACCGATAGTACCACATATCCGAATTTGGTATAAAAATATTGTTCTCATCTACCTTAAAATAACTTATTTTATAACAATAGACATTCTGAATCTGATCAAACCATATAATTTAGAAAATAGTAGTAATCAAACAATAAAAACATAATTACACTAACTAATCACTAAATAAAAACAATATTTTTTTTGATATGATATGATTTTGTAATGTAACAAGATTAAAATATTAATTCATATCATATATTTTTATAAACCAAAAAATAATTCGCACTTTCGGATCAAGATCTAGTACTTGATTAAGATTGTACATAATATAATTAAACACAATCTCACTTTTACTTTTCATATATGGACAAAAAAGATTTATAACTTATCAATAAACAAAATAAAAAAAATATTAATCATTTGACTATCTAAAATATTAATATCCTTACATAATTACTATCCGCAGATCATAATCCTTTTTCTCTGTGTTAAAAAAAATGAATTAAAATACGAAAAAATTATTATCACTTTCCAAATCGTAATTGTTATTTAACCCCTTAACCCATTCTCCGCCTTTGTCACCTTTAGTCTTCATATTACTATTAGCATTACTATTATTATCGTTCTGTTTCTCACGTTCATCTCGTGCAGCAAAAATCTCTTGAACAATATCCTCCACATCCATTTTCGTGTTTCCATCTTTACCTTTAGCATCCCCATCATCCAGCGCGGGAATATACGGCGGTCTAGAAACCAATAACACTTTCTCCCAATCTATCCCTCTGAAAAATTTATGACCCTTGATTTCTTCAACGCTAATCCTACGGTTAGGATCCTTCTCCAACAACCTTCTAATCAAATCTCGCAACGACGTCGTCTCACCTACCAGATTCGGCGGTTTAGATAAAATCCGGAAAAATGTTTCTTTCCGGTTCGCTCCTCTAAACGGCGTCATTCCATACAACATCTCATATAGTACCACACCTAACGACCACCAATCGACGGCGAAATCGTGACCTCTGCCGGTGATAACCTCCGGGGCGACGTATTCCTCTGTTCCGACGAAGGAATTCGACTTTTCTCCTCCCGAAGAATCTGACACGGCCAATGTGGATGACGACGACAAGCGCATCGAATTCGATTCCTCTTCGGGCGAGATTCCCGAGCTGCAGAAACTAGCGAATCGGAAGAGACGTTTCTTCCTCTTCGGTGACGGAGTTGTTGCCCTGGATTGTGACGGTGACGGCGTTCTCGGTGGGAGATTCGTTGAGAGATCGAAATCCACGAGCATTAAATGTCCATTTTCTTGGATCATCACATTGTCTGGCTTCAGATCTCTGTAGACGATTCCTTGATTATGCAAATATTCAAACGCGAGTACAAGCTCCGCCGCGTAGAACCTGAAATCAAACCGGGAAAAATCAGCAAACGTAAACCGAGATTAATTATATTCCACAAGACATTTATTTAATATTAATTACCTGATGATCTCATCGGAGAACATGCTTTCTGATTGCATAAGCCTCAGGGAATTGAGATTTTTTCCAGGACAATAATCGATCGCATATCCGATTACTTTATCTGTTGATATTACACCGTGAAGACAAGGAAAGAGAGGATGGTCGAAACTTCTCAATACTTCTTGTTCGAAACTCACGCGCTTGTATTCATCATTCTTCGTTGTCTTCTTCTTCTTCTCGATGGCTTCTCTAAGTATAACTTTCAAAGCAAGCAGTTTATCATCTTCCTTGTCTTTAACCAAAAACACAACCCCTTTTGCGCCTCGGCCTAGCAATGACAAAACCTCAAGCCGATTAAAGTCCAGGGTCGGGCTCTGCATCGAAGAAGTTTCAAGAAACCCGACGTTTTGAGATTTTAGGCACCGACAGACTTGTTTTTCTTCTTATTCTCTCTCTTGATTATGTGGTAGTTGGGTGACAACTTATTATAAAAGAAAAGTTAGACAGTTTTTAAATAAAAGTGTTAATACTGCTTTGATTTCTTGCCTTGCCTTGCCGGGGAAGATTTCAAATTGGTAAAGTAAAAAATAAATTAGAAAGTCAGAAACGAAAAACGAAAATTCGCATGAGATTCGTTGCCATGCGTTTGACCTGGTTAAGCTTTGAGATCTGAAACTATTTAAAAAGAATAAATATATGCTTTAATTAGTGCTTAAGACCGAATGTTCCCCGTTGTGTCTGAAATAAACACGTTCTGCTTCTAGAGATGTGACGTCATGAATGACGTTTCTCGTTGATCGAAAGCATCTGGAAGGCGTAATAGAGGGAAATTCGGTTGCCTTTAAAGACGCGGCGGCCTCCTAGCGTATAAGGTATGACCGTCAGTTAGGGGATCCAAATGGGCTTAATATTTAGTAGTCTGTTTGGAACTTTGGTATATAAAGCCTAAACGAGATTGTTCAAATTATTTTTGTGTGCTTAAGAGTATTACCAAGAGTTACTTTATTCTTTTCCGGGGTAAACTTCATTCAAAGAGTCCAATCAGAAGCATATACTGTATGTCCATATACAAAGTAAATTTACTCGACATTTTGCTAGAGCCTAGAGTTTGTGTTTGTTGTTATAGGTATATCTTTAAAGTCTGTGATAGCGGGCTTAACGGCCTGTATACAATATTTGTGAAGATAATATATCTGTTAATGCACAGAAAGACAGAAAATCCTAGGTAACTTACAATCTTACATGCAAGAATAATGAAACTAATACGGTGCATTAACATCATACACATACACCATATTAGAAACTTCTACTGGCTACTAAGATCAAGATTAAAAGTCCATGTTTCAGCCGTTCATTTTTGGTTGCAAGCCTAGGTAACTTACATGCAAGAATAATATGGTTTGTGTATGATATGCATTGCAGGCTTCTGTTCATGAGATTTTGAGTGAGTAGAATAAACAATTTCATGGTGATCCACATACTCCTCAGATGCTTCACAAACTAATGAATTATTACAGTAATAAATTGAGCCTTCTAAGAGCATGTTTCTTATGTTTTTTTTGTCTAAAAAAAGAAAAGCAAAAAACAAATCAATCACGGGCCACCACGTGATAGCGGGACCCGCGAGCAGTGTAAGAAACCTAATAAATTTGGTTCTTAATTAGTATTTTTTGTAACCAATTCTTAAGGGTTTTGAGGGCCTACACACTAAGAATCCCACTAAAAACCTCGGATAATCATGGTCTAAGACACCTTGCAAACAAGAAACATGAAGGTCTCCTTGTCTTTTGGTTTAGTACTATGGATTGTAAAATAAAGAAAACTATAGACGCTTGTTTCAGCATATAGTTGCACTTGATTTACAAATTGTTTTGTTGATGAAAGCTAATTTAACATTCACTAAAAAGAGTCTCTACCTAAGGGCCAAAGCTGGCTTTGGATTTATTTTTGTTTGTTAACAAATTCAAAATGAACTAAAAGAAGCTGGTTTAGTTCTGTTTTTTCTTTGTAAAATGTGGATTTCATCACCAATTGTTAAGAAAATATAAAATTAAAAAGGCCATGAGAGGTTTGTAGTTGTGGCTGTAAAGGTTTACAAAAAAATTTCGGAGCTAAGTAGTGCAACTCGTGATGCAATTACATATAAGAGAAGATGGTCTCAGGCTTTGAGTTTAGGATGAAACGCTATTGTGTGGAGACACAATTGTTTCTTTCTCTCCAGACGTGGTTCCGCTTGCGGGTTAATATCTCTTGTGGAGACACAATTGTTTCTTTCTCTCCAGACGTGGTTCCGCTTGCGGGTTAATATCTCTAAGATGGTTTGAGGCTTTCAGCAGAGGATGAAATGTTATTGACATATTATTGTGTGGCAACATGCATGTTCTCTCCAGATGTGATTATGTTGCGGCTTGCGATGTGAGGCGCTTCCGAACTTTTATTGGCTTGTTAGTGATGTTAGCCACCTTATGAGGATTGATTGAGATGCACTGATTATATCCAAGCCATTGGTAACAAGACCATACTGTTCCGTATATATATATCTGTTGTAGCCCCGACAATTTTATTAGTTCAAAGTCAAGATTTTTAATTGAATTTGCAAGATTTTAAGTCGTTAGGATCCAAACATTATTTATTTGTATGTAAATTACGTTCAATATAATAGACTTTTCACTACAAGAGAACTCGTTCGTTACTAGGACGAGTTTTCCTCGTTATTTCCTAGTAAATGGACATTTACTAGGAACTTACGAGGAAACGCGTTTCCTCGAAACACGTTCATCGTAAAGACATTTTCCTCGTAAAGTCCTAGCGAATTTACGAGGAAACTTTTCCTCATAAGGTCGTGGTGGGCTTTTCCTCGTAAGGCCCTCGTAGGCTTTCCTCGTAAGCTCGTAGTAAGGTTTTCCTCGTAAGAGCGTAGTAATAAATTACGAGGAACTTACTAGAACCGTTTACGAGGACATTACTTGGAAACATTTACGAGGATTTTGCTTCAAAATATTTTTTCCCTATTAAAAATATTAATTATAAATAATTATTTTATTTTTTTTAAATTAAAAAAATCAAATTATAAATAAAAAAAATAAAAAACAAAATATTTTATAAATAACTAAATAATATACAATGAAGTTTTAAAATTCATAATATACAATTAAAAATAAATAAAAACTACGGATGCTGGTCGTGAAATTGTCGAACGAACTCGTCCTGGCTCGGCAAATCCTGCTCCTCTCCTAAGTTGGTTGTCGGCTGTGACTGTGATGGTGGATGCTGTTGGGTTGGAATCCCTCCGCGTTCCCGTCTCTGACGCAACATCTCCTCCAAATGCGGGTTTCCAACCGACATAATCTCGAGAACATCGGTGAGAGAAGTCACATGCTCGGTGAGAGAACTCACATGAGACTGTGTCGCCTGCAACTCCGAGTGCAGCTGAGCATTGAAATCGTGCTGCTCCTGATGATAAGACGATGTCACTGCAGGAACATCGTTAACCGAGCCAATCCCGATGATACGCCCCTTTTTCCTAGGGGCGACCTGTAAATGAAAATATTAATTAATAACATTAAGAATTTTTTTAAAAAAATATTAAAAAGTAATAGTAAAACAAATTATTTACCTCCTCGTAAATCTTATCCACGTCAACAGTGGATAATATGACTTGACTCCCGGTCTGCTGAGTCAGCTGGGCCTGGCGCTCGTCAACTCGGGCAACAAGCTCGTTGTAGATCCGCTCGGAAGCAGGATCTACAAACTGCCCACTTTTTCTCCTGTGGGTCCGCTCGTAAAGGTCTTTCAGAGATGGAAGAACTCCCGTCTCTTTAGCCTAATTTTTTTTTTTTAAAATTAAATATTAATTTAGAATATATATTAAAGTAAAAATTAAATAGTTATAAAAATCATCTTACCATGTCTAGACGAACTCCCCCGTGAGGTTTTTGGCCCGTGGTGTGAAGCATCTTCGTGTTGTCGTGCTCGTCTTTGGTCATGCGGTTCCCGGAGTTTGTGTTGGAGGTTCTGACCGAGTCCGGCAACCCCCAATAGCTGATGAGGCCATCCCACACCGTGGTTGTGAGGCAATCGGGTTTCCCGGCCTCGTAACCATCCACCTGATTTTTAAAAAAATTAGAATTAAAGTCAATATATATAATATATATTTTTAAAACTATATATTTTATAATTTATAAATCTATACCTGATAGTCGCCCTTCCAGTTGTAGACCATATCGAGCAATCGTGCTTTTGCCTTGTCCTCAAACTCATTCTTCACCCGCTGGTGAATCCCAATAGACCAACGATACTTTTGCTGTAACCAGAAAAAATAAAAGACGGATTAGTTCAATAATATTAATAATTATAAATAATTAAAAATAAATTAACGAATTAAACTTACAGTGAACGATTTGAACCACGTCTTTTTTGTGTGACTCGCGGTCATCTTCCAGTTTGGAGCTGGATCGGGAAAGTATCCCTTGATACAGTCCGTGAAGCTAGATCCGACACTATTGTCAAGACCAAACCTGGAAAGGCACAAAATAAATCATTAAGTAGATTAATTTCTAAATAATTTGTTAATTAAGAAATAAAAAAAAAACTTTTTAAAAGTTAAAACGTACCATAATACATTTTCGCCGTCCCGTCGGTAAGGATCTAACTCCGCCTGCCCTTCTCTGCCTGGAAGGGCCAAAATATCCTCCACCGTGTACACCGCAAAGGGTGCGTTCGGCGGCACCTGCAAATCGGGATGAACCCCGACCGGTGGGGGAGGAGGAGGAGGCTGTGGTGGAGCAGGAGGTGGTTGCCGAGACGCCATAGAAGCTCCCTGAGTCTCAGGAATCGAATCTGAACTGGGAGCTGACGAAGATGAACCCGGACCATCTTGACGCCCAAACATATCTCCGTAGTGACTCCCCTCGAGATGTGACGACGTCCTCTTACCAGCCGCCTTAGCAAGCTTGCTCTGTCTAGGCATCTAAATTTAAAAAAAAAAAACAAAAATCAAAACATTATTTTCCCGTATAATTTAAAAAAATACTAAATAAAAGTAAACAAACCTAATCTAAATTACCTAAACTAACCACCTACTCTAAATTACCTAAACTAACCACCTAATCTAAATTCCCTAATCTAACCACCTAATCTAAATTCCCTAATCTAATCACCTAACTACGAATTAGAGAGAACCTTTAGAGGCTTTAGAGATAAGGTTGCTAGCAAATGAAAATCCGGATTGCTCGAGTATATATAAGGAATTTTGTTTCCTCGTAAAGCCCTAGTAATGTTACTAGGACCTTACGAGGAAATTGCTATGCCCGTGTTTTTATTTCCTCGTACGGTCCTCGTAAGTGATGTACTAGGGCTTTACGAGGAAAACCTTTTACGAGGAAATTGCTATGCCCGTGTTTTTTTCCTCGTAAAGCCCTAGTAACAGCTTACTAGACCTTTACGAGGAAATTGCTATGCCCGTGTTTTCTCTTACTAGGGCTATACGAGGAAAGGGTTTATAAATCCCTAAACTCGAAACCCCAAACCCCAAACCACAATTTCCTTAACTTATAACCTCTTCTACAACCAAACTCATAACCTCTTCTACACATAAACCACAAACCCCAAATGCAACTTGATTTTTTGAT